AATCGTTCAAACAAAGTGAATTAAAAGAGTAGAAGCTATATTCAGAAACAAAAGATACACTACACACACGAGACACGAAAAAGACAATAGGAAACCGGAAGAATTTTAGATACTTTGAAACAAAAATTGGCATTAAAATCCCATAGACTAAAACGGTACAAAAAAGCACAAGAACGCAGGACTCATAATTCGACATTTGCTATGAATGAAAAGAATTTTTACAGAAATCTACGAACAAAAACACAAACAACACTTGATACTAACATAGAGTTGCCAACAACAGAACAACTCGAGGCATTTTGGTCAGGTATATGGGAAGATGAAGCACAACATAATGATAAATCAGATTGGATATCAGACGAAGCAGCCAGATGGAGTTCATTGGAAGAAATGGACTTTGTAGAGGTAACTGAGTCTGATATAACTAATATCACCGCAAAACTCCATAACTGGAAGTCCCCCGGCATTGATAAGATACATAATTATTGGTACAAGAAATTAGAATCCCTTCATAAAATTTTAGCTAAAAATATAACGGACATCATCTTAGGTAAACAGAACATACCAGAATTCATTGCCACTGGAATAACTTACATGCTGCCGAAAACACAGTATACATCACAACCTTCCCAATACAGGCCCATCACATGCCTACCCACACTGTACAAAATTATAACATCCACAATCACTACAAAAATCAACAAACATATAGAACAACACAACATAATAGCGGAAGAGCAAAAAGGATGCAGGCGGGGCCACATGGGCTGTAAGGAACAACTAGTTATAGATTCTGTGATACATAAACACGCTGCCACGAAAAATAAAAATTTGCATTGCACCTACATCGATTATAAAAAAGCTTTTGATAGCATCCCACATTCCTGGTTAATACAAATATTACAGATTTATAAAATAAACCCCACAATTATAGCATTTCTGAAAAATGTAATGTCACAATGGAAAACCACTCTTCAATTAAACTTTCGCAATAATGCTGTAACAACTCGACAGATTAGCATAAAAAAAGGTATTTACCAGGGCGACTCCCTTAGCCCAATGTGGTTCTGTCTCGCGCTTAATCCTCTATCCCACTTACTTCACCATAGCCAAGCCGGCTATTGTCTTTCTAACACCACAGAAATAACCACTATCTCCCACCTTATCTATATGGATGACATAAAGTTATATTCAAAAACGGAAAAAGAAATGAAAACACTAATAGACATTACAACAAAATTCAGCAGAGACATTAATATGCGATTTGGGTTGGACAAATGCAAAACAATACACATCATTCGGGGCAAAATTAAACCAGGAGACTATACTATAAACAATATGGACGTTATCACTGCTATGGAACCAGATGACTTCTATAAATATTTAGGTTACAGACAACTCAAAGGGTTAGATCATAAAACAATTAAGAACACTTTATGCAACGAATATAAAAATAGAGTAAGCGCATTATGTAAAACTCAACTATCTAGCAAACATTTGATAAAAGCACTGAATACCTACGCGATCCCTATATTAACCTACTCCTTTGGTGTAATTAAATGGTCGAAAACTGACATCTACCAATTAGAAAGAAGTACACGCACTACACTTACCAAATATAACAATCTACATCCCAAATCCGCAATAGAGAGGTTAACAATTAAGCGACAACATGGGGGGAGAGGCCTTATAGATATCCACCACCTTTGGCAGAAACAGATCATAAAATTAAAATTATTTTTCCACACAAAATCCAATACAAGCAACATACACAAAGCCATCGTTACAAACGACGCCAACTACACGCCCCTCAACTTACATGAATCAAACTTAGCATACGACGTTAACAACGACCCACAGACACAAAAATTAGAAGACTGGAAGAAGAAAGTATTACACGGCCGTCACCCCCATGACCTTGAACAGGCACACATAGACACGATAGCATCCAATAAATGGCTTAAAGTAGGTAATTTATTTCCGGAAACCGAAGGCTTTATAATTGCTATACAAGACCAGATAATTAATACAAAAAATTATAGGAAATTTATCATCAAGGACCCTACAATCACAAACGACAAATGCCGCAAATGTCACACCCAGCCAGAGACCATTCAACACATTACAGGAGCATGCACAACACTTACTCAAACAGACTACACTCACAGACATAATCAACTAGCAAACATCATCCATCAGAACCTAGCAATCAAACATAAACTCATACAGGACACAAACACACCTTATTATAAGTACACACCAGAAAACGTATTAGAAAATACCACACACAAACTATACTACGATCGAGCCATTCTAACAGACAGAACCATCCACTACAATAGACCAGACATAACACTAAGAGATAAAATAAATAATATTACATATCTAATAGATATTGCAGTTCCAAATACACACAATTTATTAAAAACTATTGGAGAAAAAATAAGTAAATATGCTGAATTAAAAGAAGAAGTCGCTAGGATATGGAGACAAGAAAAAGTGTATATAGTCCCTATTGTTGTCTCCACCACGGGTGTGATACCCAAGCACCTGCACAATAGCCTGAAACTCATAGACCTAAAAGATACTACCTATATCACACTACAGAAAGCAGCCATATTAAACACTTGCAGGATAGTCCGAAAGTTTATGCAGTTGGAAGAAGACACCACAAACACATAATTACACACCACACCCTATATTCACTTGGCCCTGGCCCGTGAATGTAGGTGAATACCAGCTTTCAGAGCTGAGAAAAAGTAAACTACCCAAAATAATAATAATAACCTTTATTGTACACCTTAAATAAATGGAATATACATTAGCGTTATAATAAAAAAAAATAGTAGGGTACAAAGGCGGCCTTATCACTAATAGCGATCTCTACCAGGCAACATCATAGTGTGGGGCAACGTTTATTTTAAAGAAAAAATAAGAAATTGTTAAGACTTCTTGCTGTTGTTGCCTCTACTCTAATTAACTTATATGTCAACGGGTTTTTATGCATATGTATTAGATAAGTAGGTGCCACAGAAATATTAAAAACTTCTTTCTTGTATCTAGGTATGGTATAATAAAGAAGTATGCATAGTCATCTCCATGCCTCTGTAACTACTCCATACTAAAATAAAAAGCTTCAGTTCAGAATAACATCTTCCATAATTATAATTGACAGATACAGACGTCCATTAAAAATGATACAACAATGCTTTTAATTTCTTCCACACATAGACAAACAATATGGACGATACATTATCTTTTTATTTCAAATATCGAACACAGTTTATTAAAAATGCACTCAATTCTTCATCACGAAATCAAACTAAGAATCCTTCTGCTCAAAATATCAAAATTATATCTTAACGACACGCTCATAAAGTTTAATATCCATTAACTCTCTTCTATTTTATTTATGAGTCCTTTCTTTTTTTAAATGCTAATGAAACGTCAAAGGGTGTAGGGAAAAAGCACCAGTTGCTGGTCGTGAGTCAATGTGGAAGAATAAAAATTCAATTGCTTTAGATCACGATATGTTTACGTTTCATGTTGTTTAGATGAGTTAATTGGGCGTTGCTCGTTTGTTACGTTATTTTGGTAATGGCTAGTTTCTTTTTTTCGTTTGTAATAGACCTTTGGTAATTGATGTTTACTTCATTATGTTAAGTGGTTGATAAGGATAATTTCTACAAATGATTATAGAGCAATTTAAAATAGCAAAGACTACGTGAAAAAGGCGTGTAAGCAAAAGCAAAGCAAAGTATATGAAACTTTGTATTTTTTTTTATGAGTAATACTTAAATTACATACTACAATTATTGACTCGACGTCGACAATTTCGTTCGTGGTACCTAACTAGATTGAAGAGGTTGCAAAATCATTACTCAAGCCTTTAGGTACTTACATCATTAACAAAAACAATTAATTTAAAATCATCTCGTCCGAGTAATACACCTTTCACCCTACTACTTCTATGACGCAACAACAACAGCTGCATTTGATTCGTCAATGCATATTTCGATGGATCGACAGACAATCAGATTTAAAAAGTAACACAACCATTTAACTAAAATAATAGACACGTGTCAATGATGATACTACGCTATTGAGAAAGCTAACATCACGCCGATTTATTTCCCAAAGGGTTACACAGATAGCTTACCTACATACAACATTTTTTTTGTCAATAACATAGGAACCTAGTCCATGAACTTTAAATCAATTATTACCTTTTTTATGGGATAAAGCCAGTAAACGAGTAGACGGATCACCTGATGGTAAGCAATCGGCGTCGCCCATGGACAACCGGAACACCAGAGGCGTTATTAGTGGGTTACCGGCCTTTTGAGGGTCAGGAATTTGAGGATTGTTAAGGATTCAGGAATTGAGGAGATTGGGGAATGGGGGGGGGTGTAATTAGGCCTCAGGTAACCTCACTCACACGACGAAACACAACGCGAGCGTTGTTTCACGTCGGTTTTCTGTGAAGCCATGGTATCGCTCCGGTTGAGCCAGCCCATTTTATTTACAGCTGTTTGCACCACCCAGAGGTTGCTTGTTATGACTGAGATGCTATGCTACTAAGTAAGTATTTATTCGTCATAACATCATGGTCTGTATGGGGCAAAAGAGCAGACGGATCACTTGATGGTAAGTAAATACCGTGCCCATGGACATACGCAACATTGGAAGTGTAAGAAGTGCATCGCCGACCTTTTAAACAACAGTATCTAGCTAAATAGCTAGGCTAAATTAAATTAGGTATTAAATTAACTAAAAATCTACATCGCGACATCGCCGCGACCGCGCACGCTGCTCATAAGGAGCTTATCTCAGCATTTCCACGTGAGTAACCCGCGATTTTTAGTTACTTTAAGTAATACCTATGTCTCATTCGTGATAGTTACTATAAAGTACACTACGCTCTTTTCTTTAAGGTTTAAAAATGAAATAAGACTCCAACCGAGAGTCAAAAAACTGGCAAAAAAAAGGTTTTAACTTACCATTCCCCTCAATATAGCACGGTAACAACACTGTATCGTTTTCATAAGTTTTTACAGTCACTGGTACACTTTTAAATGGCTTCTCACTTTTCACTGAGTTTCGTATGAACAAAAGTAACATTAGACACGTGAAGAACTTCATTTTATTGTCTTTTAACAGCTAAATTATCTACAAAAGTATAAAAATCAGGTTTATTTTGTGTTTTTTTGTCTAGCAATGTATGTTTTTGCCTAGACTAAATTAAGTTGTTATAATTATTCTTTGTTCTGATTTAAAATACATTAATCAATGATAGCAATTCGCAAATTCATCATAACGGAAAATAATTACCTATCTATATGTATATAACCGAATAGAACTAATTTACTTCAAAAATAAAGGAGGTCTTCTTAGGAAAAGAAATGGATCTGCTATCAGTTAGAAAAAAAGCGCGCCGAATTTGATTTAGGAACAAAATTAATTTGTACCAAAGAGGACGGATGTACTGCACAGTGAATAAATCCAGTATTTTTTTTTGTATTGTCTGTGTTTCGGTCACTGGTATTATAGGATTTACGGTCTACCGCCTATACTGTAGCGCTTTGCCATTAATTAGACTTTTTTTAATCAATTTCCAAGTTACAAAACGCAGCTTCATTTCGTAAAAAAAATGGTTTCCGATTGTCCCGATTCCCAACGATTTAAAAAGTAATAAAATCAAATACAAGTACTTTTTTCACTAAATTAATAGTTTAGAGACTAAACAAAATTAATTTCATTTATTAAAAAATGATATCACAGAACACTTACGACGTTTTAATTGAAATTAAACGGAAATCGTAAATTGAAAACAAACGGGATAGTTTTCTATCAATTCGTCTTGTTTCCGAACGCGCGCGTCTTGGCGGGAAACCCGAGTGGAACTGTCATAGCTGGCGCATGCGCCCGACGCGCGGCTCAATGATTATTGCTTGGGGTGGAGACACAATGAGAGGAAGTTTTTCAAAATATTTTAAATGTAATGATTAAATTTATCCTAAACATTTTTTTGTTATGTATTCCAAGTTGATTAAATAAAAATATTATCATCATATGTACCAATTTGATTGACATTGTAGCGAGATGTTATAGTTGTTATGATTATACAACTTACAAGGTAATCAGCTGTGTAAATATTTAGTTTAGCCTAAATGTTACCTTACTATTTTCTTTTGTGTCGTTAGTATGAGTACCTGTATTTAAAATAAACTTTATATACTTACCTAGGTATACCTAGATACATTCTATCTAGACTTGAACCGAGAAAGAAACAATAATAGAATTGACGACACGTGCTGCAGCAGCTGGTTGTTGAGCCACAGAACTGAGCGTGCGTATTTTTATAATTTAATGACTCTCTATCTCCTCTACCTTGTTGGCCGAGTGATTGAAAGTGCGACTGCCGCGCAAGGGGTTCGATTCCCGGGTTGGGAATTACTGTTTTTTTTAAATCTCAGTAGTAGCATATAAAGTCTGGAATTGTACTCGGTATATGGCAATAGGCTCACCCCCTGTTACACGGGACTCATAACGTAAATAGTGAAAAGTGGGTCTTACATTGTACAGTGGCATTAAGTGCAGTGTAATCCTTCGGGGCTAAAAGGCGTGATGTTATGTTATTTCTATATTATCTCTATAGTTATTTTACTAAATTTAAGATGAATTCGAGGGATTTTTTTACGAAAACTAACTTTAGGAATTTAACTTTACCTTCAATTTGCAAAATTTATAAAGATTTAACTATTAAGTACCTAAATAAAGTGAAGTTAAAAAAATAAAAAGTTAATCGAACTCAAATCCTCGTGTTCGAAGTCATTCTAAAAATATTCGCTCCCATTGTGTCCCGAGCTTTATACGTATCCAGTCAATTAATGTACCACCTTTAATTTAAACGAATGGATGAAAGACAAGCTATGAACAATTACTTACAATGTACATATCTGAGTGTTCATATCATATTATATCATCATCAGATCATTTAGAAGGAAGTTCCTTATAAGATGCAGTCAAACTTAATGTAGGTACCTACCTACTAAGTATATTTAAGAAAATGCAAAATTTCAATCATCGAGTCAAATATATATAAAATATGCACACTCCTCACACTGTGAATGAAGCGAGAGGGAGTTTCAGACTCTTCAAAGTCAAATTCAAAGCATTTGTTTCAAATAAACCTTAATTAGGCACTTTTGAAACGTCAAAAATTTACAAACTAGAAAAATTTAAAAACCTTAATGACAAAAATCCACCCCTTGACTAGGTACTCCTGCCTCGACCCGAAGCCCCGATAACCCTTGCGGTTGTCTGTAGCCCCGGTATAAGAAGATACTTACGGACCTCTCTATCCCCCCCTCTACGAGGCATAAAAATCATAATGTTATGTTACAGTAGGTACCACCCAGCCATTATAATACCAGCCCACACTACATCATTAATGTTGCGTCACTACAACATTTTCAACACCTACATTCTCACATAATAAAGAGGCAAATAAAAACACTATAATAAAAATATATTCGATAACAAAAATCTAATCCAGATCAATAAAAATAATTATAAAATTCAGTGCAGTTAAAATCGAGCTAGTACAATGGTTCCGTATCAACCACAGATGGTATTAAAATAGGTATCAACAACAATCTATAACGATCGACTGGATTATTAGCAGTTTTTTTAAGTGGGGAAAATCATCGAATGACTTCTCCCGCCTGGGTGAGGCGGGAGGGAGTGTTAGACTCTTACTGACTAAAAACCACCCCGTTCCTTCTCCTGCACGTCGAGCCGGAGCCCCGGTAACCCGTTAGGTTCTCCGCGACTCCGAATCGGCATCAGCCCTGTTGGGCTTGGGCCCCATCCGTGGTGGTCTTGATGGCTCTTTGAGGCGCGCGCGGAACGCTCGGCGCCGTACGCTCGGGTCTGTTTCTGGTCGGACGGGGAGCCACCCATGCTCGCCGTCCGCAGGCTCGTGCTTACGGTGACTGGAGATCGTCCCGGGATCCCCGACGCCCGGTGTGTCCTTCGCGATGGCGGATTATTAGCAGTTGCGTAACTACAGGAATTGTTTATGTAATTTGATATAGGTAGGTTATGTACAGCTGTATTATTAGACTTCATGTTCACTCACTATTTATAATTAAGATTGTTGTGTACGATTTTTAACCGACTTCAAAAAAGGAGGAGGTTATACGTTCGGCCGGTATGTTGCTTTTTTTTTTTTTTTTTTTTTTTGTATGTATGTACGCGCATAACTCTGAGATGCGTGAAGCGATTTGCAAAATTTTTGTTTTGTTGGAAAGGGTATACCCCCAAGTTGGTCCCATTTCCATGAGGTCAGGATCTGATGATGGGATCCTAGGGAAACCGAGGGGAACTTTCGAAAATTCTATGGGCGAGTAGTGCGTCTATTATGTTTTTCAATTACGATTTTTAAACACTACAATTTGATAAGGGTCTGGAGTCGACCTGATGATGGAGCCGACAGACAGTCGAGGGAACTCCTCAGCGGTTCATATTAACTACCTTGTGTTTGGGCTTGATTAATTTGTATTGATGAGGACTTTACACCTAGATAGAGTAGGGCTGTCATTAAGGGTCTGATGATGAAGAAGTTTAATTGGTAAGGGAACTCCTCAACGGTATACTGTAACTACCTTGTGTTTAGGCTTGTATAATTTGTATTGATTAGAACTTTGCACCTATGTAGATTATAAGTAACAAAACGGGTATATGTAGCTTTACACTGAAAATGATAAAATAATAAAATAAAAACTGCGTTTAAAAAACCGACTTCAAAAAACCAAAAACTAATAACAAACAAAAAGTCTAAACTAAAAAGCAAAAAATAACTATTATTAGTACTGATAGGTTACCCACCCACTGATAGGTTAGAAGTCGGTGCCATAAGCTCATATCATAATGATATATCTGTCCACAAAATTGTGAATTAGGTACCTATTAAGGTTTTAATGAATAAATTTGTATGGAACTTATGGCACCGACTTCTTACCTATCAGTGGGTGGGTAACCTATCAGTACTAATAATAGTTATTTTTTGCTTTTTAGTTTAGACTTTTTGTTTGTTATTAGTTTTTGGTTTTTTGAAGTCGGTTTTTTAAACGCAGTTTTTATTTTATAATCTGTCGTCTGTATCTGTACTTATGTAAAATAAATAAATCTTATACTATTCAATTAAACCTTTATTTGGTACTTTTGAAACGTCAACAAATACAAAATAAATAATAGTCTGTCAGTCAGTCCATCAGTGAAGTTTATACTATTATCTTATACTCTTATACTACATTAAGCGGAAGAGTTTGTTTTTTTGTTTGGTTGTTTGTTTGAACGTGCTAATCTCCGTAACTACAAGTCTGATTTAAATAATTCTTTTTATGTTGGATAGCGCATTTTTCGACGATGGCTATAGGCTATAAAACATGATATTAAGACCAATACGAGCTGAGCAGAGCGTGTGAAACCGCGCGAAAGTAGCTAGTAAATAAATAAAAATACAGGGTGGCAAGCAGGCAAAATGCAACGGGCCCCCAGTTTTAATCTGAATACAATAGGAAACGGGGGCCCATCCGAAGAATTTGCCATGGGCCCCGAACGGTATAGTTACGTCTCTGTCTATGAACACTTTATGCAACAACTATAAAACAAGAGGATTTGCCGTAATCTCCACGTATTCCAGTAGAGATAGAGATTATAGTTTAAAAGGTACATAATTTTCGGATAGCGCTGCTACTCGGTCTCTGACAGAAGTAGAGGTTCCATAGTCAGTTCCTACTAATCCCTCGGGACGAGTAGGAGTGGTGGAAGATGTTTTTTTTTTATATTTGATGAGCCGACGTTTGACCCGTATCTCGCCTTTTGGTAAGCGATGAAGCGGCCTACGATGGAGCATGTCGACTATTGTATTATACTCCACTCCACTGTCACCACACAGCTAAATTTTAAATAACTTCAAATGCCAAAAATGTATTTCTGTGTAGTCAAACATTCTACCCTTAATTACTTTAATAAAAAATAATCATTGACCACCGCTTACCGAACTCTAAAACCCAAAGATCACACTTGAATATCTTAATTAACTCGATTCATCGATTCAAATCAAATACCTGTAT